AGGCAAATGGTGGTCACACCAGATACTGACTGGTTCTCTGATCCACGGCCCTATTTTTTTTTTTTTTTGGGGGGGGGGGGGGGGGGGGGGGGGGGGGGTATATGTGACCAACAGATGCATATCTGTATTCCCAGTCACTTGAAATCCATAGATTAGGGCCTAATTTATTTATTTCAGTTGATTGGTTTCCTTGAAATCGTTGAAATTGTTGCATGTTGCATTCATATTTTTGTTCAGTGTATACAGTGGGGAAAAAAAGTATTTAGTCAGCCTACAATTGTGCAAGTTCTCCCACTTAAAAAGATGAGAGAGGCCTGTAATTTTCATCATAGGTACATGTCAACTATGACAGACAAAATGAGAAGAAAAAAATCCACAAAATCACATTGTAGGATTTTTTATGAATTTATTTGCAAATTATGGTGGAAAATAAGTATTTGGTCAATAACAAAAGTTTCTCAATACTTTGTTATATACCCCTTGTAGGCAATGACACAGGTCAAACGTTTTCTGTAAGTCTTCACAAGGTTTTCACACACTGTTGCTGGTATTTTGGCCCATTCCTCCATGCAGATCTCCTCTAGAGCAGTGATGTTTTGGGGCTGTCGCTGGGCAACACGGACTTTCAACTCCCTCCAAAGATTTTCTATGGGGTTGAGATCTGGAGACTGGCTAGGCCACTCCAGGACCTTGAAATGCTTCTTACGAAGCCACTCCTTCGTTGCCCGGGAGGTGTGTTTGGGATCATTGTCATGCTAAAAGACCCAGCCACGTTTCATCTTCAATGCCCTTGCTGATGGAAGGAGGTTTTCACTCAAAATCTCACGATACATGGCCCCATTCATTCTTTCCTTTACACGGATCAGTCGTCCTGGTCCCTTTGCAGAAAAACAGCCCCAAAGCATGAAGTTTCCACCCCCATGCTTCACAGTAGGTATAGTGTTCTTTGGATGCAACTCAGCATTCTTTGTCCTCCAAACACGATGAGTTGAGTTTTTACCAAAAAGTTATATTTTGGTTTCATCTGACCATATGACATTCTCCCAATCCTCTTCTGGATCATCCAAATGCACTCTAGCAAACTTCAGACGGGCCTGGACATGTACTGGCTTAAGCAGGGGGACACGTCTGGCAATGCAGGATTTGAGTCCCTGGCGGAGTAGTGTGTTACTGATGGTATGCTTTGTTACTTTGGTCCCAGCTCTCTGCAGGTCATTCACTAGGTCCCCCCGTGTGGTTCTGGGATTTTTGCTCACCGTTCTTGTGATCATTTTGACCCCACGGGGTGAGATCTTGCGTGGAGCCCCAGATTGAGGGAGATTATCAGTGGTCTTGTATGTCTTCCATTTCCTAATAATTGCTCCCACAGTTGATTTCTTCAAACCAAGCTGCTTACCTATTGCAGATTCAGTCTTCCCAGCCTGGTGCAGGTCTACAATTTTGTTTCTGGTGTCCTTTGACAGCTCTTTGGTCTTGACCATAGTGGAGTTTGGAGTGTGACTGTTTGAAGTTGTGGACAGGTGTCTTTTATACTGATAACAAGTTCAAACAGGTGCCATTAATACAGGTAACGAGTGGAGGACAGAGGAGCCTCTTAAAGAAGAAGTTACAGGTCTGTGAGAGCCAGAAATCTTGCTTGTTTGTAGGTGACCAAATACTTATTTTCCACCATAATTTGCAAATAAATTCATTAAAAATCCTACAATGTGATTTTCTGGATATTTTTTTCTCAATTTGTCTGTCATAGTTGATGTGTACCTATGATGAAAATGACAGGCCTCTCTCATCTTTTTAAGTGGGAGAACTTGCACAATTGGTGGCTGACTAAATACTTTTTTTCCCCACTGTATATGCACAACCTGTTCCGAACTGTTTCAGATGGGAAGCATGCGGCCGCCATAATGCTGAGCAGAGTAGGCTTGAAGCATTTATATCACTGTAGTGAATGCAAATATCTCTACTCAAGGATACGTCCGCCCACATTAAAGGTGGATAAACTCTCAATAAATTAGTCTATCAGTATCACTTTGTGTTGACGTCTGTTTCATTCTGTGGTCATTTTGATTAATCTATTGCGGACTACACTGTGGCAGACAACAACTAGCAGACCACAACATTTAATCAAATGTTGTCGACATTATCTAAACATGTATATCTACTACAGTAGCCATTATTGTCCGAATTTCATCACAAAAAAATAAGGATTTGTGGACCCTGTGTAAATTAAACTGTAATTTTATTTTGCTATGTCTGGAAGCAATGAAAAAGACCAACAGGATCATTTACTAAAAGCCTTGATGTCAAAATCCTGAAATGCTAAACAATTTTGGAAGGCATTATATTCTTTGCAGTGTGTCTTATTCCCTTGGCCCAAGGGTAGCCTATATTGTACATGTTGAATGCGTGCACTTTGAAGATGTGCGCACGTCTTTCTCTCCCTCCCTCCCTCTATCTCTGTGTGTGTGTGTGTGTGTGTGTGTGCCCGTGTCATGGGGCAGGTGATTCCCAAAAGCTCTCTAATGAGAGAATGCATAATTGTATTATTTTTCTCCATTAATAGCTAACATAGTGAATTAAACCACCCCTTGTATGCCCCATATGGTGCATACCTATCACCATGGATGAATGAATGAGGGGAGGCGGGGTTTGTATTTTACAATATTTTACTGCATGGGATTGGTGCAAGCAGGTTGGCTGCAATGTTTTTTATATTACAGCATTGTTGAATACTCGTTTCTGATTGGCTAGAAGGGCATTCTAGAATGGACATTAAAACCAGATATCGGGACACCTTGCAATCATGACACAATATGCGCCCACACATGCAGACCGTACTTGCTACAAAGTTACAGAAAGCCAAAACCAACAACCACACAAACTTAAATTGGATACATTGAGGCTCCACCTCATCCCACTGCGTCATACATTATTTCCAAGGTAATATACAGAACATTAGCATTTATCCCTTACGCAATCACATGCACTTATAGAGGCCTTAACAAAGTCTTCCTAACTTGCAGGAACTACAGGGAAAAACAGACCAAGGACATTGCAAATACTCAATCATTAAAGGTTTATGACTTGCTTCCATTTAAATCTGTCCTCTATACTCATTTAACTGTTGGGGACGTACTACCACATATCAGTTCAATTGGTACAACACTCTCACTCATGGGTTTAACAAATGTAGTGTCTTACAAGACACGCCTCGAAATATGTTAATGAGCCAGAAACAACCATACCATGCACCCACTAATGGTCAAAAGGTGTTTGGCACTCCAAAAATACAGTAGGATACTGTATTTTGTGGGGTGGAATTACAGTACCATTTGAAATACAGTAAAGTAATGTAGGCCTACTGTTGAACCAACATTTCTTTGGAAATTACAGTATTGTTTACCAGTTATGCCTAAAGTCACCCAGAGTGCATTGCGATTTATAGTAATTTACTGTAAACAATTAATATGGTACATTGCTGTTAGTTTTATTGAATAATATTGTAAAAACAAGAATATTTTTTAAGTGGCACTATAAAAAAACTACTTTGCGCCTGTAATATGGGTCATATCTTTTCAACTGTTTGGGCTAGAAACAAGCCAACCTCCTGAGGTCAGCACCTGAAACTAAAATTGTGAATACACAGTAGGCATAAGATATGACTGTAAAGAAATACAGTATTTTAGAATTATTTATACAGGAGGCTTTCAATTCCAGTTAATATATACATTTCAGCATTTTACCCATAAAGCATTAATTCTGTAAAACACATTTAAGGTATTTTACTGTGCACTTGACAGTGTTTTACTGTTGAAATTACAGAAAAGTCTTACAGTGGCTATGACACCTCTTGCTTAATTATCTTCCCTCTTGGTGAGACAAAGTTGTTAACGGATTGGCTACACCAAACAATTACCAATTCAGGCAGGATGCATTTGGAGAGAGTGGTGGATAAATCATTTGCTTGCTAATGGGTTGATGATTAATTGAAATTCATTAGGGGCAAATTCCGGAGCACCGCTGCTGTGGCTCACTATTTGGCCTGCATAATTTCAATAAGATTCAGGCGCCGTAACGGATGCTGATACTGATCTGAAGGTGCATATTGCTCCCGACGCGTTTGTAACAGACATTCAACGGGCGGACGCTCCTACCGAGGCTATAGCCTACACTTTCGGGGACAGATGTGCCTCATATTCACATATTCGAGGATATCTGGCTTTACACTGATGTATAAGTGAGTTTACAATACGAACGCAGGGAGAACAGGTGACTCCTCTCGTGCACTTAAGCGCGGCAAAAGCCATCGGAAAAAACACAATGTGAGATGTGAGGAGGATTCATACAACTTGACTGACTGCGCAGGTGATATCAACTTGGAGAGACTGCGTCCGGACAGCGAGGGTATAGTGCTATTCGAGGGAAATATCCATTGTATTAGGATTTAAAGTTCCACTTTCCGCTTGACATCGTGGTGAATTTAATCGAGGTGACGCATTAGGATTAATTGGTTTGCGTTCGGTTAATTCCTCAAACAGCTTTTGCTGAATACTGACATGGTCAGTGAAGACTTAAGACAGGAGAGAGCGATAGTGTATCTCTTCGCTGGCAAAACGACTACTTGTACGGCCACAACTGTGCCACGAGACACACAAGGAGCCTTTGATAGCCACTGAAGCGGACCCAGTGCATATCAAGCAGCGCTCTGCAGAAAGAGAATCATTGGGGCCATATACCCGTTACAAAGGACATAATTTAGGGAGGAAAAAAGGATGACACTTTCCGTCTTTAAGGAAGAAGGGATAGTAGCAACAGTCACCGCTATCACCAAACAAATGTGAAGTGAATGCCCCCTCCTTGTGCCACGGGTGCGCACTAGCCAGAACTACAGAGCCCGCATAATCATCGATTCGCGCTTTGATTTTGTGCTGTGTCCGTGAAAAATAGAAGAGAAGGGAACGGGGGTAAAAGATAATCCTAAAGGAGAATTTCCGATTCCAATCATGACGACCAGGATATTATACTTGTTCGTTTGGTCTACGACATTTCTTGCTGAGCTGCAGTGCACCTCGCAAAGGACCACCGCAGGGCTTGCGTTCCCCACTGCCGGGCTTGGCAGCAGCCGGGATGCCAGAAGTAAAAAAGACTCCAACCAGACCTATAACTCCCGACTTAAGAGGAAAAACCTGGCCATGGATTTTGCAGTGCCCTCTCTGTTGCGCTACTACATGACCGAGTTGATAAAACGCCCACTTAACGGAGATTGTCTGACTTTTAGTGGATGCTATACGGTGCGCGCTAATTTAAGGATGCACTGCATTCCCTTACAAAAAACGGTGGCTACTTTTCTCGACCCAAAGTTGGCTGCAATCGATAGCATGGCGGCGGAGAATTCAACCAGTGCTGGTGGACAGCTCCCACACCGCTACAAGCGGCCGCTGTCCAAAGTTCTGAATTTGGGCTTAACGAAAGCCAGCCGTAAATCGAATCAAGTCGTGGTGGAAATTGGGGAGGACTTGGTTAAAACAGGATGCGGTGGACTGGCAGTCTACGAGGAAGACCCGGTATATTTCCTGGAAATGGACCTAACAAATATTTTGGAATGGTGGTTGGGCGCGGAAGGGGGCCGGTTAAGGGTCAGGCTTATGCCCGAAAAGAAAGCACAGGTTCCCGGGAGAGAGGACAAGTACACCGTGGCGATACGAGCAGCAGACCCCCAGCTCTTTCTTCATATAGCCTCCGGAGGTAAGGTTTTAGATCGATCCCTCCTCCTCCTCCTCCTCCCCCTCCATCATTTCTCTGTCACACACACACACACACGTTCCCATCCTCATAATGCAATGCTTCAATGAATGACATGTAGTCTAGCAATGGACTGTATCAATGAATGAACGGCAACCACAATGCTAGTGTTGGTTGGTATAAGTACGGCCTATAAACTGTGTGCCATTAAATTTTTTGTGGAAATAGTTGGATACCCTCACGGTAGCCTAATATCTCACGACATGTATCTGGTTCTCATACACCGCTGCTTGTTTCTTTGCGCTGTCTGAAAACTGCAGGGTACAAGTTTGATTGTGTTGTTGGATTTGATAAGGTTCTTTGGCTTGATAGATAGCTTTAGACCAGGGTTTGGCAATTTACTGCACTTGTTTTCAGATGACAGATGGATACATTTTTAACCAGACTGATGGCACTGTGGTATTACTTTCTGAGTTAAGTGGCATAAGTAGTGCTTATGTAAGATGGTCGAGCTACACAATCAATAGGAAATAATGACTCATGTTATACTCATGCATTACACATGTTGGCTATACATGAAAGAAGGTGTGTGGTGATGGTTTTGCATGAAATTATAGGGCACTCTTGTTGAGCAAGTTATTCAACAGTTGCCATTTCTGAATGAATGATGGGGTGAGTAGGTTGGAGTTCACCAAAATACTATGTTGAGAGCAAGGGCTCACTTCATTTTGCAATAAGACTACATTGAGAGCTGAGATTATTGCTGTATTAAACATCATATCTATATAAGATCTCATTGATATTTCCATTTTCTCCTGTTCATTTCGACCACATTGACTTTACAAATCAAAGTATCCTCCTTTATAGCCCATATAGTCTGTCAGATAAGCAAACTGTAGGGCTGGCTCGGTCTGATAGCACAGTTCCACCATGTCGGGTGTTCCCATACATTCTTAGCCCACCTGATTTTCAGAGAGCTTCCTTTTTCACAAGGACTTGAACCAACCAATCCCACACCTCCATACTCAGATCTGAATCACACTGATTGGATCACTGTTTTGTTTTATTTTGTAAAAATTTGTAACCACTGTTTTCTTTGTGGTACACATTTTGATGTAACCCCCAAGGGAGAGACAGGCTAATAGCCTCATGCAAACATCCGCCAAGGCACATAATATAATAATGGAGAAATTGGAACTATGGTTGCACATCAGAGATAGCTAAAGTTGGTGTTAGCCCACAGCTTTAGTATGCCATGCATGCCTCCTAAACCCTTAGAAAAAGGGGTTCCAAAAGGATTCTTTGTGGAGGGATAGGGTTCTCTACCAAGGACCGTTTTGATATGAATAACCCTTTTTGGAAGAAAAGTGTTATTTATAAGGCAAAGGGTTCTTCCTAGAACCTTTAACATCCTAATAACCGTTTTTGGAATAAAGGGTTATTTGATTATCTTTTGAAAGGCAAGAATGATTCTTTGGAAGGGAAGAAGGGTTCTAGAACCATAATCTCATATTTCCGAGCATGCTCTATTGCAGGGTGATTTTCTGAATTGTTTGTTTTAATATCTGTGTTTTTGCATGTACATTGATTGGTTGATACATTTTCTGCTACACAAAGATAAATAGCATACATTTTCCTAAACTAATCCAATCTGCTAGTAGTTGGACTTATTGCACCCGTTACTGAGTTGGTTGTTCCAGTTTCGATTATTGAGGTAGTCTCGGTATTCAATCTTCCCTACCCTGGCAGTCATTCTAAATGCAGGTTGCAGGTGATACAAAATTCCACTTGTTGGATATCCTAACTCTGGCTAGATTCCAAAAGGAATTTAACATCACTTTGCAAGCCAGGATAATGTGACTTGCAGGCCTGATGTGGCCTGTAAACCAGGAATTTCCTAACACCACTGTGTTAGGGTATAACTAGGCCTTATGATACTGTATATGTAATGTATTGTCATAAAGAATGCAATTTTAAAGACTAATAAGGCTGGTGGAACTGTTCATATAGGGTTCTAGGAAGAAACCTCCAAAGATTAAAGGGTTATCAGTAGAACCCTTCATAGAGCATTCGAGTTAGAATCATATACAGTTGTTTTTTTAAATGAAGAAACCTACAGTACATAGCACCAAAATGGGTTCCTCTATGGAGACAAACTGAAGAACCCTATATGGTTCTACTTAGCAAAATAAAAATCTCTAAGTGTACAGGCAAACAGCCGGGGCCTATAGAGAGAGAACCAAGTAACTCTGTATTAGCAGAAGACACTAAGCTGAGAGTTATTAGATTGTGAAGATGAGCTGTCACGGTCGACATGTCAGTGAGGAGGATCCCACTTCTGATACTAGTAGTTAGAATAAGTGCCTTCAGAAAGTATTCACACCCCTTGATTTGTTCCACATTTTGTTGTGTTGCAGCCTGAATTTAAAATGGATAAAATGTAGATTTTTGTTTTGTTACTGGCCTACACACAATACCCCATAATGTCAAAGTGGTATTATGTTTTTCAACATGTTAACAAATTAATAAAACATTTAAAGTTGAAATTCCTTGAGTCAATAAGTGTTCAACCCCTTTGTTATGGCAAGCCTAAATAAGTTCAGGAGTAAAAATGTGCTTAACAAGTCACATAATACGTTTCATGAACTAATATTATTGTTTAACCCATAACAGTCTATGCCCTGTCTAAGCCGGGGGAGAGGGTTCTACTAAGCTACAGTGCATTCGGAAAGTATTCAGACCCCTTGACTTTTTCCATGTTTTGTTACGTTACAGCCTTATTCTAAAATGGATAAAAATAAATAAAAAACACATCAATACCCCATAATGACAAAGTGAAAACAGGTTTCTAGACATTTCTGCACATTTATTAAAAATAAAAAACAGATACGTTATTTACGTAAGTATTCAGACCTTTTGCTATGAGACTCGAAATTGAGCTCAGGTACATCCTGTTTCAATTTATCATCCTTGAGATGTTTCTACAACATGATTGGAGTCCACCGTGGTCAATTAAATTGATTGGACATGATTTGGAAAGGCGCACACCTGTCTATATAGGGTCCCACAGTTGACAATGCATGTCAGAGCAAAAACCAAGCCATGAGGCCGAAGGAATTGTCTTTAGAGACAGGATTATGTTGAGGCACTGCTCTGGGGAAGGGTACCAAAACATTTCTGCAGCATTGAAGGTCCCCAAGAACACAGTGGCCTCCATGAATCTTAAATGGAAGAAGTTTGGAACCACCAAGACTCTTCCTAAAGCTGGCCGCCCGGCCAAACTGAGCAATCGGGGGGGAGAAGGGCCTTGGTCAGGGAGGTGAGCAAGAACCCGATGGTCACTCTGACAGAGCTCCAGAGTTTGTGGAGATGGGAAAACCTTCCAGAAGCACAACCATCTCTGCAGCACTCCACCAATCAGACCTTTATGGTATAGTGGCCAGACAGAAGAGTTGCCAAAATGCACCAATAGGACTATCAGACCATGAGAAACAAGATTCTCTGGTCTGATGAAACCAAGATTGTACTCTTTGGCCTGAATGCCAAGTGTCACGTCTGGAGGAAACCTGGCACCATCTCTACGGTGAACCATGGTGGTGGCAGCATCATGCTGTGGGGATGTTTTTCAGTGGCAGGGACTGGGAGACTAGTCAGGATCGAGGGAAAGAGGAACAGAGGAAAGTACAGAGAGATCCTTGATGAAAACCTGCTCCAGAGCACTCAGGACCTCAGACTGGGGCGAAGGTTAACCTTCCAACAGGACAACGACCCTAAGCACACAGCCGAGACAACGCAGGAGTGGCTTCAGGACAAGTCTCTTAATGTCCAAAGTGGCCCAGGCAGAGCCCGATCAAACATCTCTTGAGAGACCAGAAAATAGCTGTGCAGCGACGCTCCCCATCCAACCTGACAGAGCTTGAGAGGATCTGCAGAGAAGAATGGGAGAACCTTCCCAAATACAGGTGTGCCAAGCTTGTAGCATCATACCCCAGAAGACTCGAGGCTGTAACCACTGCCAAAGGTGCTTCAACAAAGTACTCAGTAAAGGGTCTGAATACTTATGTAAATGTGATATTAAATGTATTTTTGTTATTTACCAAACATTTCTAAAAACATGACGTCAGTGATCTTTAGGTCGGAACCTCGGGGCCCTAGAACAAAGCCCGAGTTCCGGAGTTGGAATTCCGAGTTGGATGTCCGTTCAAAACAATTTTTCTCAGTCGGAGCTCGTTTTTTTTCTCGAGTTCCCAGTTGTCTTGAACGTACTGAAGTCTGAAGTCGGAGTTCACAGATGTTTTGAATGCGGCAATAATCCCAATCCATACTACTTAGCTATGCTTCCACCGGGCATTCCACTTACAGTGGGGGAAAAAATATATTTAGTCAGCCACCAATTGTGCAAGTTCTCCCACGTAAAAAGTAGAGAGGCCTGTAATTTTCATCATATGTACACATCAACTATGACAGACTAATTGAGGAAAAAAATTCCAGAAAATCACATTGTAGGATTTTTAATGAATTTATTTGCAAATTATGGTGGAAAATAAGTATTTGGTCACCTACAAACAAGCAAGATTTCTGGCTCTCACAGACCTGTAACTTCTTCTTTAAGAGGCTCCTCTGTCCTCCACTCGTTACCTGTATTAATGGCACCTGTTTGAACTTGTTATCAGTATAAAAGACACCTGTCCACAACCTCAAACAGTCACACTCCAAACTCCACTATGGCCAAGACCAAAGAGCTGTCAAAGGACACCAGAAACAAAATTGTAGACCTGCACCAGGCTGGGAAGACTGAATCTGCAATAGGTAAGCAGCTTGGTTTGAAGAAATCAACTGTGGGAGCAATTATTAGGAAATGGAAGACATACAAGACCACTGATAATCTCCCTCGATCTGGGGCTCCACGCAAGATCTCACCCCGTGGGGTCAAAATGATCACAAGAACGGTGAGCAAAAATCCCAGAACAACACGGGGGGACCTAGTGAATGACCTGCAGAGAGCTGGGACCAAAGTAACAAATCCTACCATCAGTAACACACTACGCCGCCAGGGACTCAAATCCTGCAGTGCCAGACGTGTCCCCCTGCTTAAGCCAGTACATGTCCAGAACCGTCTGAAGTTTGCTAGAGTGCATTTGGATGATCCAGAAGAGGATTGGGAGAATGTCATATGGTCAGATGAAACCAAAATATAACTTTTTGGTAAAAACTCAACTCGTCGTGTTTGGAGGACAAAGAATGTTGAGTTGCATCCAAAGAACACCATACCTACTGTGAAGCATGGGGGTGGAAACATCATGCTTTGGGGCTGTTTTTCTGCAAAGGGACCAGGACGACTGATCCGTGTAAAGGAAAGAATGAATGGGGCCATGT